AACTCATATAGATATGATTCAAATACATGTGGCTCGTCTAGTAGTACTTTGCCTACCGCATGTAATCAAACATTGGACTCAAGTCTTAATGCGTTGCCTGATGAATTAATTGATTACTTTAATCATACTATGCCTAATAACAAAACAATTAAGAAAAGTTTAGAAGAAATAATTGAATTCTAGCAAAGGTACGAACACCAATGGCCAGTGGTTTCTGCGATGACAAAAGACCTACTAACACATCCGGTTAGCACTGTAACTTCGGAATCTGCTTTTAGTGCAGGTAAGAGAGTTCTCTCCGAGATCAGGAACTAACTGAAAGAATATATTTTAGAAGCATTAATGTGCGTAAAGGACTGGCAAGATGGTCATTTTCGATTGCAAGATAAATATGTCGAAATTGCATCTCGTCATGCAAGTGATATTTAATTTAACCATATTCATCAAAAAAATTATAATTTTTTAAAAAAATTGTACATGTAACAAGTTTTTCGTGTACAATTTTTAACCCTGCCTACTCGAAATTGAGGTAGTCAGTCTCAAACCCGGATAAATAATGAGAGTTTATCTTTAAAAAAAATGTTTACAAAAGGTATATCTAAAAAAATATTTAGAAAATATATATCTTTTTTTTTTAGATTTAGAAAATGTATAATATAGCTTAAAAAAAAAAATCGAGCCCGCGAGCCGAAGCTTGGCTTGACCCACGAGCCAAGAGCTCATAGCTTGTGGGCGAGCTGAGCTCGACCCACGAGTAACGAGCCGAGCTTGTGTGTCTAGGGCTGAGCCCAGCTCGGCCTATTGTCGCTACTAGCATAAATGATCGACCAACTCCAATACAGTACTAAAACTCTCAAAGCTACTACTCAATTCGCTTTTCCTGCCATCTTCTCAATTCAGCATTGAGATAGTAATCTTGTAAAAATTCAAATGTTATAACTTTCAACAAGAGATAATGAAATAAACCATAATCTCAACAAATTAAACAAATCGAATTGTAACAACTATAAGCAAGGAGATTCATTTGCATCGATGCTAATACAAATAAATAAATCACTTATTAAATTAAAGAAGAAAAAAAGTATTACAGACAAAAATTTAAAAATTAAAGAAAATAATATAAAATATAAAAATTAAAGAAAGAATATAAAAAAGTATTTTAAATTGAAAAAAAATTAAATTATGATAAACACAAAATAATTAAGAAATTTTAAAAAATAATAGATTAAATTAAATACAAATTAATGA